ATCTAAAATGAACACCATAATATTCCCAAAAATTACCTATCAGGACTTTCAGAAGTAGTTTTCATCTTAAAAATTCTGCCACATTATTTTAAATTTTTAGTAGTAAAAATATTATAGATTTTTGTTCCATGGTTTCAAACAACATTAAAAGTTCAAAACTGAAATATTTTGGTACTACCCAGGAAAGCTAAATCAAGAAAACAGTCCAATTTTTAAAGTATACATAGTTGGGCATCTTATGTACAGTGTGTGACTATAGTTAACAATAACTTCATTATATACTTGAAAGTTCCTAAGAGAATACATTTTAAATGATTTCACCGTAAGAAAGAAATGGTAATTATGTGAGGTGGTGGAGGTGTTAACTAGCAATCCTTTCATAAAATATGTTTACAGAATTTTCACATTGTACACCTTAAATGTATACAAAGTTATATATAAATTTTATCTCAAAAAATGGAGGAAAGAAGACAGCAGACTAAAAAAAAAGTATATGTAGAGAACGAAATAGAAATAGTTGTTCCTTCAGTAATGTTAATAAATGACATTGACTTGAAACACAGAATCTGAAAAGACAAACTTTCAACACTTATTTTATGGGAAACTAAAATACTAAGATTCCTTTAAAATATTTTGCGATAAATTCCTCCAGCACTAAATGTAATTAAAGCATATTTGAATTTAATCTATTCTGAATAGAATTATTACTGGCTTGATATCTAAAATCAAACTTATTCAAAGGGTGGGTAAAGTTAACAAACATTAACATAAAAGTTTTTAACAAAATATAAGTGTTTTGTAGATGTTTAGTATGATAGTAAAATATATCTCAATTTTAAACCACCAAAAAAGACATATACTGAAGTTGGATGGTCATTTCCTCCTCTAATTATAGGCCCTCAAAATAAAGTTACAGCCTAGCTCCAGTATAAAAAGTGAAATGTAATTTTTGAAATAGAAATCTACTTTCTGAAATTTTTAAAAACAAAGCATCAGATATAGAACATTTAAAGTTCACATATAATAGTATTAAAAATATTGTTTAAATTAAAAAACAAAAAGAACCATGCAGACACAAAAATTAAATCACTCAGCAGAACATTATAGTTTTCAACAAATTTTACTAAGTAACGCGATGCATTACAGATAGCCCAAATACATATTCCCAAATTAAAATTAACAGAAATAAAACATTTGTCTACAGCTTGACACATAAATAGAAGTTCAGTTTTTTCAATACACTACCACAGTTTAGAAAAAGCCCCAATATTTTAATATTTGAGAGCATTTTTCTGATTATTTAAGTAATCAAACAAGCTAAAGTTTAATTTCTAAGTTGATCATATCTTTCCAAAGTCCTGAAAATTAGAAGTAGGATTAAAATCTCCTACAGACTTTACATCTTAACTTACCATGGGGACTACAATTTTCATCTAATTAAGCTGGTAATTATTAAGCTATTATAGTTAAATACTCATTCCCTTTGTTTCTCTCTGAATTTCAGAAATGACTATGCCATCTATAACAACTGTTAAGCTATAATGTGAACCACTTTAAATGATTAAAATTATGTTTATAAGATCTATTTAAAATTGTATTTTAAGAAAAGACCGCTGCGCATTCATTATGTTAAAACCACCAAGAATTTTGTTGTTGGAAGAAAACATTTCAAAGGACTATCAAAATTGGGAAAGCATTTCCAGAAATGAATGGTCCCTCAAAACCATGTTCGTAGTTAAGATCAGCCTTTCTGAATCTTATTTATATAGCCACCTGGCACAATTCCATGGATCTATGTATCTCTACAGTGTTCCTGAACAGACTGACGTATATTTTGTTTACTAACAGCAAATGAAAATTCTACGGAGGATCATAAATAAAGAAGATCATGTTTAAAAATCACTAATATCATTTTAAAAGGTAGTACAGGCTTGTGTTTTGGCCTCTGTTTAGCTGTGTTAGGCCTATGAATGACAGCTTCCCTGCTTGAAACACACAGAAAGCACAGCCTTCCTCATTCACTGACAGGACTGTGGCCTTTTCACACGTTCCTACCACAGCAGTGTTTGTCCCCAAACACTGGAACTCCACACAATGGCATTCCTACTTGAACACCCCCACCAACAGCACCACTACACAACAAGAATGCTAATGAGATGCAACAGGCCCGTCACTGAAAGTGTTAACTGCATTTCATAGAACTTGGTTATGCTACTTCAAAGATTACCAATTAAATAGATTCTGCTTAGCTCTGAGCAATTTCTAAGATGTTTCCACTTTCAAGGAAATAAATGTGATAAATGTAAGACTAAGTGACTTTATGCTATCCTAAGTATAATATCTCATTTTATATACATGAATCAGTATATATTTAATACCACATTAATGTAGTAGGCTTAATTTAGTTGCACGCTATAATAACCAAATTAAAGTGAAAAAGTAAAAAATGAGTACGATCATAAACATCAAACTAGCAGTTCTGACTTTTAAAGCTACATTATCACAATTTATTCAAAAGAAATTTTCTTTGGGAATTTCAAAAACCAATTTAAAATCTATAATCTTGTGAGAGAAGCCTAGAAAAACAATATTGTTGTTTTTATATATGATCTCAGAAGTAGAATAAATGGAAAGATATCAGGAGTTCATATAATTTTGTAAGTTTAGAGTTGTTAATTAAATAGAAATCATCTTCCATCTCCATTTTACTTAATGATTACTCAACACAATCTTATATAAAACTAAGTAGAAAAGACTATTTCTAAGGTAAAATGAAGTAAATTCAGTTCAAATAAAGCTCATTAATGCCAAGAGAGATATCTGCTAAGAAAACCTGTTTACAAGTTATTGTCAGGATGGACATTTAAGCCACTGATAACTGGAAATAGTGACTTTTATAAACATTGCAAATAATTGTAAATTGTCATAACACGACAAAAGAAAACATGTAATTTAACATGCCTAACAGAAATAGGAATTTGCATGGAAATGCCTAAGGGGCAAATTTCTTTTTTTTCCTTTTTTACTTTTAGATCAGTAAACATGTATCATATAAAAAGTGTTGCATGCAAAGCTTTAAGTTATTACACCCAGTAAAAGAAAAACATGTAGTTAGTAAACACAAAGAAGTTAGATTTTTAAATATTCCTCAAATTGGCAGAATGTTAAAAGTCATAAAGTTGATGACAGGGACAATTTCAGAGATACTCAAAAAATGTTAATTTTTATTCACATTCACACAATACTTATTTTAATAAAATGTATTTTTCTTCAATTTTGAGTCATAAATAAACTTTTAAAGGCAAAGCAATAAGTATTTTAAAGTGTTTTATCTTCTCATAATACACAGAATTCTTTTCAATCTAGTACAACAGTTTATATCTATTTAAATTTTAAATATTTAGGACAATGGAAGAAAAAACATATCATAACTATTACCTGAGCTATTTCTTATCTAGAAATTTAAATTTAACATCTAGGCTTTAATAAAACCTAGAAAAAGTTCAAGTTTGAATAGATTTGCTTTAAAAGTCTTTTCTTGCACAGAATGATCTCATATTCTTTTTACCACTAAATACCATTTTCTTAACATTAAATAGTTTAAATTGCCTAATAAGTGGAATCAAACTATTTAATACCAAATAAATGATTGTAATCTATTTTATGACATTACCATATTTTAAAAGTTAAATGATATTTCAGTTCAGATAACTGAATCTAAGTGCAGTAGAATATATTTTACCCCAATTTTTAATAAATGGTATCAGCTTAATAAAGAACATTAAAATAAGTTTGGATTCCATTTTTTCATATTTATTATTACAAATAGCCTTATCTACAATAATTATTAATCTTTGAGTTAATTAATCTTTGGATCCACTAAAATCAATTAACTGGGCAAACCAATCACATTTTGAGAATAAAAGTTTCTCACTGGGAAGGTGTTTCCTGCCAGTTCTGGATACTTTGTTCAAGAATTTCTTCCAGTCAATATAAGTTGTTCTTTTCCAAAGTAGGCAGCAGGAGGTGCTGTGTGAACACTGAGACTGAATCCCATTCCCAACTCCCCTTCCCCTGCATACAGACAATAATAGCATGATGCTTTCAAAATATTCATTTTTAGCAGCCTATGGCCTTAGATAATGAGCCCAGTTCTAAACTAGAACCTCCCAGTTTGAAACACAAGATCTATTCCTTATTTAAGATGATAAAATGTATGCTTAACTACTCAAGACCACGTGCAAAAAGGATTCTAAAGCTGTGGCAATTCCATTTTTATTTATAAGCGGCATCAATCATTCGGCTTTGCAATGTGAATTCTATATTAAGGAAAATCAAAGTCCTTACCAGTAGTTATAAAAAATCAAAGTCTAAACATAAACAAATGTTTATGTTTAAAATAAACATAAATAAACAAACATAAACACACTCACATTATGGAACAGATAAGTAGAAATTAAAAAACAAAATCTAGTTTAACTCAATCAAATACATTAATTCTATTTCTACACTTTCAGATTTTGGAAACATGTAAGTTAAATAAGCATAAATGAAATGAGTTACTCTTGTTATGGATTTAGTTCACAGTTTTACTTCCCAAAATATTATTGGTTATATTTCAGTCCAACTTCTACAAATCTGATCTCATGCTAAAAAAAAAAAAAAAGGGCTGAACATATCAAATACTTTAGGAGCTATTCATTTTCTTATTTAAAGTAACTGTCTATAGAATTTCCACATAAGGAGTTGCCTTCACTTTGCACAGTATGCAGCAAGAAAAGATGAGACATATGACATCCCATACTAAAAGACAGATACAATTAGCCCCATTATTGTTGGCTTTGAGATTATAGAAGAAGCATTTTGGCTCCCCAACGGGCACTGGGCTCACAAAACACATGTCACAGATCTTTTATGACATGATGCCAATCATTGCCTATATACAACCAAGTACATTTTAAAACATATAATAAAGCAGTTTTTAAAGAGGGATGACTCACCTGTTTATAATATTTTTTTGCAGACTTTAATCGTTGGTACAGGGCCAAAAGAACTTCTTGGATGTACATCTTAGCTCCTGAGGGGCTGAAACCTTCTCCCTTAGAGACCCAAACTGGTCCCCGTAAAGGTGTGATGGAATTTTGCAGGCATTTTTCAAGCAGAGGAACTATGCGAGAAAATAAGGGAAAATAAATTCTTTTGACCCAACCGAAATGCATTGCCTGGAATAAGCCCCAATACCAGAGCTAACTCTTAACATCTATTATTTATATCTGACCTGGGTTAAGTCTTAGAGAGGCAAATCCTGCCTTACTAGTGGCCACCATGAAGGATGTATTTATATTGAGACACCCCCAATGCAAGACTCATAAGCTTTGTGAGCACACCTGAATAGTTCTGAAGTGTGCCTAACTAGCTGCACAGAGTGTCATGGTGTGCACTGATTGCCTTATCTTCTCATTTATCACAGATGAGTTGGAACCAACCTTGCTGAAATCTACTTGCATTGTCCTGATAAAATTGTAAGATCCATGTTGTTTCTGTATATAGCTTCCCATAGAGGAGTTTATATACCTAAAACATCACATCTGGAAATTATTCATAAAATATAATCCACACCTTTATAAGCCATCCTATTCAAGTCTTTTCATTGACACTGCTTAAGTAACCCATAAAATAGTGTGGGAAGGCTGTTTAAAAATAAAGGGGAGATTCTTAAGTAAGCATTTCATCAGACTTTTTTGTTTTTAAGTTTCTGAGATATAAGCTAGGCAAAGATCTAGGAATGCTATTCCAGCATGCATTTTGTAAACAGATAGAAGATATTTACTTGTGGGCCTGCACTGTAACATCCATATGTACCTGACAGACATGTTTATACATTTTTTCACACGATTAGCTTATAAAGTCTTTCTAGTATAAAATAATCAAATAACATGGCAGCTAGCTAATATTTTTCAAGATTCAATTTCCTTCTGAAAAGCCAGAAATAAAAGTATTTTTAAAAATCTTAGGCACACTTAGGAACCCAGGAAAATGAAAGGATGTCTTTTTTTTTAACTTGGTCTTTAAGTACACATGTGACAAACATAAACATACAAGATAACTACAGGGCTTGACTACTTTATTCTGATATGTATTTCTACTAAAAGAGAAATTAAATGGTCACCAGCAAAGAAAATAGGTTTGTGCCACTAGTTATGTTATATGTTGCATATTTTATGCAGAGAGGCCTAGTTTAGCAATCTGGAAACTGAATTACAATTAGATTCAGCCAAGCTGCTGAGAGGTTGAGTTATGCAAATTGCTAGTGGTATTCTGCTGAATTTTGCTCTTAGTAAAAAAGTTATGCATTTTATTGCATAACTAAGTTCTGTAACTCTCCACCAAAGAGCAATCTGAATCCCTTCTAATATATTCAACACCAAGGAAGATGTCAGACATAGAGTGTAAGACTTTCTAAGACTACAATATATAAAAATAAGAGAAAATTATGACCCAATAACTATTTAGACATATTCAGATGTGTGCATAAAATTCATTCATCCAGCCTGTAAAATAAATTCCTATAATTGATATATCAAATCATTTTTATATTCTTGAAGCAACTGCTTTTCTAAGTTTTATCATTAGATATACTAACTTTGAAAAATATGATCATATGTCTTAAAAGAAATAAAGGAGAAATAAACTTTTTAGAATTATAACTCTTCAATATAAAAAGTAAAATACAAATCACACTTGATTACAATTTTTCCTAAAGAAACATAGCTAAAGAATAATTACTGCATTTAGTTAACTTCTAATTAACTAAAGTATTATTTGTTAGATTTTAATCTGTACACTTTAATAGAGGCACTCATTACACTTAAAACAATTTTGAAAAATGGAAGAATTACATAAATAATTGTTCATTTTTTATCAAGTTAAATAGAGAAGTAGATAATCCTAGATTTAATTTTCAATTTAAACTTAAGAAAATGTTATCATATTTTCTAGTCTTTCAGCCTTATTCATCTATGCTTCTCACAAAATAACTTTTGAATGCTTTATGGCAATCCAAGGGGCCCCAAAAAAGAATTTCATAGATCTTCTAACACAAAACCCCACTTATTTACAGAATTTTTACCCTCCAAAAGAATTTAAGAAAAAAGCACTGTTTAGAAAAAAAATACAAACTATATCAAAATGTTAAGCAAAGTCAGAATTGATACTGGATGGAAAATCGCTCCCATGCTCCACATGATTTATGTAATTAGGAATACTATGGAAACCAGAAATAGCAAAGCAAAGAAAGCAGTATTCACAAGCAGGTTTTAGAAGGGACCTCAGAATCTGCTCTGAACTTGTTAAATAATCTGTTCAGTATTCTAGAATCTCCCTGCTGGAAGCAGGGTCCTCATTATAACCAATAGAGCACTAATAAAGGTTAGCCTCTGAACTAGGGATTAGAAGGCTCTTTCTTTTTGGAAGCTGCAAACTAGTAACTTTGATGATCTTCTTGAAAAGGAAGACAAAGCACACTCCAAGAACAAACAATGTTTCCACTAACTAGGAAGGTACAGAAAACATAAGAAAATGATATGCCTAAGTACTTAGAAAGGAAGTATAAGTCAGCCTAGTATTTTGAAAAAATAAAATTTATCACTCAGAATGAAAGAACTCTCCAAAGAAAAGAAGCCTTGCTCCAAGATGATAGTTATGAAATACAATAAATTTTTTACTAAAAAATAGAAGTCACTTGACTTTTCAAATACAACTGTAGATTTTTAACATTAGTATGAATCATTACGTATTTTTAGTGGTTATTCATAATATCCTGTAAGAAAGAAGAAGTACAAGTATTCTTAACTAATGTTTTTTTTTTTCTTTTTTATACAGAGGTGTTTTTTTTTTGTCAAATTCTTAAGTAAAACTGCATTCTGTTAAGGAAGACTGTCATAAAGATATGAAAGAAATAAGGGCAATGATTTAGAACAGGTAATAGATGATTTTCAGCTTTAGAAAGTGCATAAACTTAGATATTGCTCTGAACTAGCAAAGGCCATAGTAGATAGCCAATGGGGGGGAAAATGGCTTTCCCAAGAAATAAATAAACTCCAGCATATTATTTTGTTTGTCCTTCCAAACCATGAGCTTCTCCTTTAAACATACTCAGAAATACTTATCCAATTCAAGAAGGTTAGCTGGCTCCTATTAGCCTGTGTCCCTTTAATATTTGTGTGCTTACCTAAACACAACTTTTTTAATTTCTTATGTTTGAAGACTTTATTACAGGTGTGCTACCTCTTTTTTCCTACTGACACGATAGTGACAAGAACTCTGCTTTTTCTGTAACTTCAATATTTTCATTAAGCAAGTTCTCAACATTTTTATTAGATAAATGACTTGGAAATTAATCATTCCTTAAATTTATCAATATGCATAGATCAGTCAAATGTGATCATTCCACTGGGATAATTTCCACCACTGAAAATTTACATGGATGATTGCTTTTTATCTGTTTTGTTCATTCTCTAGTTATGACTATAGGCAATTCAAAAGTTAATTCAATATTTCCAGTGGGCATGGAATAAAGACCCATGGTGCAGAATAAACAGATCTGTGCCCTAAAGGAGTGACTTCATTGGGTAGAGTTAATACTGAGCATCATGGGTAAACAGAGATGATTAGAAATAGTAGTTAAATTAATTTCAAAACTATCAATGGCTAGATACTTTTCTCATGCATGTTGTTTCATTTCCCCTTCATTTCTTTCCTCCTTTTGCCACCTGTTAATATATTCTTCATGTCCTTCAAAACTCATATCAAGTGTTACCTCCTCCGGCAAAATGTCCTGTTACTTATATCCTCTGTGCTTCCCAGAGCATTATCCATACCTTTTAATATGTATTAGTTCCTATAGTCTCCTCTCAACTTCCATCCTTCAGGAAATTCAAACCTTCTGGAGTTTGCGGTCATGATATTTCTCAATTTGGTAAAAAAAAAAAAACAGTGCCCAATAAAAATTTAATGGATGAATAAATAGTACTTTGGATATATTGTGGACAGTATTTAAGATGAGTTTTAAAACTATGAGTCCAACTACAAACATCCCTTAGAAACTGTAACTTTCTAATCTAATGAAAATTTGATAAATATACCAAAACCTGAAGCACATTTAGAGTATATAAGATTGCTTTATTTTCATTTTTCCTATCAAATTATTGTGAAAACTAAGGAGTAAAATATAAAAACAAAATATGATTTGGCAAGGAAATATTAACTAGTCAGGAAAAGGCCAGACGTGGCTATTTATAAAATCCTTGGAAAATACTAATGTGCCTTTCCTACCCTGTCACAAATCACACTACTATGGAAAAACACACACAACAAAACTAAAATAACAAAGCAATAATATGAAAGTCAAAATAGCTATTTTAAATAATAATGTTATAATTATTTATATAGCTACATTAAATAATATAAATAACCCCTTTAAGCACACTAAACACTATGAGTTAAATGCTATTCAAAAAAATAAACTGTTCAGCTTTCAAGAGGACTTTATAATAAAACACGTTAGCACTGATAAGAAGCTTGAATTTATTCGGATTCTTGATGGAAGTAGTGCGAGAGTTTTTAAAAAGGAGCCAAAAGTCCCTCTAATGAGAAACCACCAAGTTAATGAACTTATCAAGTATATATAGACTGGAATATTTTGTCAAGTTCTGTACCTAGGGAATATACATCCTTCTGCAAAAGCAGCATTTACATTAAAAGAGGCACTTTGCTTACTGCATTTGAATAGAATATGGAAAGCTAAAAAGAGATCTTGTTTATTAATATATTTTTAAAGCCCCAGAAACAACAAAGGGCTTTAATAACCTATTTCCAATTAGAAATTAAAATTCATGTGAATTGAATATCTAAAATCATCATTTACATAATATTCTAATTTTCACATTTCAATCAGAGTATCTGAGACTATGGAAAAAAGAGTACTACCCAGAGCAATAATACCTATAAGGAAAGTTCTAGTGCTCTTTGGCAGCAAATTTCAGATCTGTCTCAAAAATACTCAGCTATTGTTAACAGAACACCATTGAGAATTACATCAGGACATCTGAGATTTTCCCATCAATTTAATTCAAATTTTTAAAAATAAATTTGATCTAAAAAGTTCTT